GAAAAAAGTCCTGAGAAGGTCCATGAAACCATTCATGCGTTAACTCAGACATATAAAGATGTGGGGTGAATCACTCATGCGGAACTCTGCTATCCAAGTTGTTGGCTCATTGTGTGCACTGTAGCGTGTACCTAAATACAACGGCGGGGTAAAATTAACTTAAATTTTGTACTCAGTAAAATGTGTTATACCGAGCCGATTTTGATCATTCAAAAGTCGTTATGAGGTGCTAGTTAACGTTTAATAACATTTTTGGAAAGAAAATAGTGAAATTATGTCTTTAAATAGAAGTTCATATGCACCAGCCAAATATAGTAGAATTGTTTATCAGTGAGATTAATCTGTGAATAAACAATTTTAATTACTTGTGTAAATATAAAGATGTGGGTAACCCACATCTTTATATACGACTTTTCATGGACTTCGACCTGCTACGTATTTTGACTGTATTTTTACAGGAAAATTTTTAACAGTGTACGTGCATTAAGTTGAAGACAACACCCATAAAGTATTGTCTAATAATAATGGACTTATAATATATAAATGAAATGATTGAAATATTATTATACATACATAATTCCTTAAAATATTTGATATTTAATTCCTATATGATATTTATGGAAATTTGCTTATTTTTGTATTTATTATGTAAGTTTCAGTATATAGTTAAATATTTACAGTGATTGTTACAACTTTAGTATCAATAAAAAAAGACTATACCAGTTTAAGTTTTGCTATTTTTTGCGAGTCTTGTAGTGAGGTGTTTCAATTTACAATACATATACTGTACCGCCATAATTAATATCACGAAATATATATATAAAACAATACAAAACATATAATTAACCATCAATCAAACTAGTTTTAGGCAGAATATATTTTCCCTCATCGTCTACCTGTAAAGAACAAATTAAAATCATTATCATGGTAAATCAGTTTCTGCACTCATTGTTACAATAATTCATAACAACGAACATCCGTTTATAACATTCCAAAGATAAAAAGTACAAAATTACATTATAGTGATACACCATTAGTGTACGACTATCATCAGTTAAAATTAACTACAACTAGGCCTTTTTTCTACAGAAAAATACAGTAGGCCTAGTATAAAATGTGAATAATTACGGTATCATTAGGCGTTATTATATTTTATTAACACAAAAATAAATATATATAGGCCTACCTAATAAAAAACACATGGGCATAAGCATGCATTACATACAGATATGTAGGCCTAAAAAACGGCCAGATTATTATTTGCCTACGCTTCCGCATCCTGCAATAACCACACTACCAATGGAACTCTATTGGCGCGCCATAATTTCTATTGTTAAAAACCTGGCGGCCGAAATGATCTGAGGCCCTGGCGCCTCCACTGGTCTCGACGGAGGATTGGTTTGGCCTGTCACCCGTGGCCAGCTGGCACTGCCTTAGTAGAAAATAACACCGGATTTACAATACAGAAGGCAGAACTTTTATTGGTCTTGTAAAACAAAAGCAATTACTTCGTAATATAATAATAATAATAATAATAATTAATAATAATAATGTAAAGGCCTATTATTATTTAGGACTAAAAAATGCATATTTTATTATTTATATTAATTTACAAAAGTAAAAAGTAGTAAAAATCTGTTTAGTCAAGGAATATGAACTAGATACCAACTTTACAAACATCAATTTGGATCGTCGAAAGGTGAGCTGTCAAAACCGGCGTTCGTATCATATAAAAACGCTCGTGGCCCCTCATACTTCACCGACAGCTGATCGACAAACCGAGATAGCGTCGCGTCGTTCCTGACCACTCGCCACACGATATGCTTTATCTTTTTAGTTTCTTTAGTTTACATGAATATATCTAATATAACTTTATAAAATGCGTTTGAGAAGTGGTCATCGTACTGTAGTGTCTGATGGCGTTAACCAGGAACCGCCAACTGATAAACAATTACCAATCGGCAGCAATTTTAAATACCAAAGGTATGAATTGATCAGTTCCTGTTTACTTGGACTGCCTCATTAACGTAGTGCATATGGTTCTTTAAAAGGCCATAACATGTATGTATGGCCTAGCCTAGGTATTGCGGGCTCGTGGACCGGTCCAAAATTAGAATTAGGCTGAGTTAGATTGTAGCTGTTCCTCTTTCTGTCCCGCCAATCCCTCAAAATATTATACAGTTACCTAGACCTAGCCTAGTATAGGCTAGATAATAATTAATAGGCTTAGGCCTAGGCGGCCTTTTCTAAGTAAACAGTAAGTCCCCTGGAAGTTAAATCATGTATGGTGTGCCATGTGGGTCGACATGTCAGCCTGAAGGCTTTTATACTCCATGCGTTTAAATACATGGTTAGCTTGTCAGTGTCTGGACTGATATTGCATTTGTAATCTAATAATTTTTTGTCATGTTCATAAATAGATAAAAATAGCCTATATGTCTAATATGTAAAAGTACCCTAGGCCTATGCAATACTCAAGGGTAGGCCTAGTGGTTTTTTTGTGTTTTTTTTTTTAAATCAGAACAATATAATTTTTTTTTTATTGATGAGGGAGGGACTGTTTTTATTTGGCAAGAATATTGTAAATATTGTATGAAAACTTTTTTAAAGAAAATGTATTTCCAGACACAAAATTGCATTTTTACTTTATGCTGATGTTTGAAATAAAAAATGAGACAAAAAATAAAGTTTTTTATACTGCATCAATATTTTCAAAATTTTTGACGTGGCTGGAGTGATAATCTAACAATATTTTTCCATGTGCCCTAATGGTAGGAAAGGTAAATCAAAAATGTATTTGATAAGTCTTTCACATACTGTACCATGTATTCGACCAGTTTGCCGAAACACAGCTGCCGAATGCAAGATTCGACATGAAGTAAAAGTTCCTGTTAGCAGAAATGGTCCATAGTGAGATGGTTGAGAGTGAGCTACCAGCCAATAGGCTAATCAGACCATGACATTAACAGCTATTGTGTTCATGGAGGAATTAGTATAGCTAAACTAATTCTTTCATGGTGTGTTAGATTATTGACCATAGTAGAAACAATTTGGGCTGTATTTTAATTATAATTTTTGGGCTGATGATGGTGATGACATAATTAATGTCGAAATATTGAATCCCAACACGATGGCGTGTATTTCAATACTTGGAGTATGTATTATACTTTCTTATCTGAGATTAATCAGTGGACCTTTCGGTATTTGGGCTGTAGATGAAGAAATTATATTTTTATTATAGTGTATACTTTATAGATCCCTGACAAAAAATGAAGAAAAAAAAACTTGTCGCGTCCGAGTCGTTATAACTTGTGCATAAAAAAGCTCACAGCTTCTAAATAGTAGTATTGTACCAAGAATTTGTCAATAGAAATCTTTTTAAATAGTATTCAGGTCTATTACAACCTTAATAAATTGCAAAATTTTCTAAAGTCCATTGGGAGTAGTCCTCAGAAATGGCTGGCTTTTGACATTAAAGCCATTGGAATTTAAACAGGCAACCTATTACAAACTCTCACTTATAAACTTAATGATCTCATGGGCTTCAGTGGCAATAAGTAAATTTAAGAACCCATAGCTCTTCAACAAACTAGCAAAATTTATTGCTAGATTTTTTTCTCAAAAACTTGGGTACTATGGACCATTTGTGCTAACGGAGAAAAATGCAGCATGGAGTCCATTTTTGCCGAAACCCAGTTTGCTGAATGCCATTTTACCGGCCGAAAAATATGAAAACCCACTTTTGGCGAAAAACCCAGTTTCTGCCGAATTTCAAACCGCTATTAAAAGTAAAACAGTTTGTTGAATTACCTATTCGCCATTGTGGATAGAAATACAAAGGTGCAGCCTACTCTGCTTTGGTCATAGTGGCGTATTTATCTAGAGAGGACCTGTGCAGATGTTTACCGTAGTTTGTTCCCTTTGTTGTTTCCCCTTGTTTTTTGTGTTGCATGTCTTTGTTAGCAGGGGTTTCAGAATATCACCTAACAGTTATGACAGATTTTAAAATTTTTTTTTTTTTTTTTGGCACTCCTTTTTACCTTTTTTGTTGTTTCTTGTCGAAAGATTGAAAATAAAAACTAAAATATAATAGTATATCTGACGCAAAGCATGAGTGGATGGTGGGGGCTGCTCGAGGATAAAGTATGGAAAAGCCAGCTGACAAAAGAAGGTTAAATTATTATGTACACTATATAAAGCATGTAAATCACTGACATCAGTGGATCAAATAACAATACAATCAACCGGATAAACGTGTGATAAAGTCAGAGGTATTTATTACTGTAAAAATGAATAGAACGGTGGTAAAAATAGAACATAAGATCGATCGTAGGCACAGGATGCAGGATTATAGGTTAGAAAGTATTAAGACAGGGATATTAAAAATGAAAACGGGTTTGGTAATGGGGGTATAATAAATGGGTAGATTACATTTCTTTATGAAAATGCGGGTGGTAGCTCATCCTGGAGAACAATGGCTTGGTGTAGGCCTAGAGAGAAGTGGATTAGGCTTAGGTAACTAGCTTGACCAGCATGTCTAAAAAAGCTTCCCCCCCCCAACCCAGTCATTCCCCAACCCAGTCGTCTCCCCCATTGAAAATTTTCAAAGTCAAAAAAATTACACTCATATTTTACGAGCAAGCACCCCTTCACTTAATCATCGAGTGACCAAACTTAATTCCCTTCTTGCCAGTGGCGTATGAAATAGTGATCCTGGGGGGGGGATGGGGTGCATAGGTGAAGTGGGAGATCTCTATGGTCAGTTGAGGGGTGCTAATTTGCAAAATAAGGTGAATTTAGGTGATTTTTAACTACTTGACCATGTTTTTTTTTTGGGGGGGGGGTGCGCCACCCACGTACAACCTAGGTACGCCATTGTTTCTTTCCCCTCCATCAGCCCCCTCCCCCATCCCATTTCAAGACTCCCTAGATACACACACCTACACTGATGATAGTGTATTTTTGGTTTGGGACATGGAACTAAATTTACCTATACCTTTCAGCCCTGAAGATTTTGTATTGCCAGTAGTCGTATTATGAATTTAACATATTAATTGAACTTTAAATTATCTTTCAGTTTGCGTCTGCCACGGTTTTTGAAATACGTAGCAATTGGACTTGTTGGTGTATACATTTCAGTACCAGCAGTTTTACACTACCTACCATTTGTTTCACGAGAGCTAATTTTTTTAAGTTCAGGTATATGATTTCTTATTGTAGTTCTTTCTGTAATATGATGCTGTTAGCATTTAATGTGCATTTTCAGCTTAAAATTATAAGACTTAAAGTGATTTTGAATATGTTATCTTGTTTTAGTTCATTACCCCTTCATTTTGGACTTTAATCAGCCTTCCAAGTACAACATTGAAGGAGTTCATAATTTCAAATTAACTTCAACTGATGATGTTCAGATTGGAGTCTGGTGAGTATAATTCAGTTTGATTTCTTTATCTTGATGGAAAAGATGTTAATAACGATACCACATGATACTACTCCATTGCTATTGGCGACACAATGCGTTTTCAACCAGACGCCATTTTCCCACTGACAAACCGTTGATTCCAATTTTTAACATAATTATTAAGATGTTGTATCTTAGTTTTTCTTTGTAAATTTTAATTGATTAAATGTGTGTTCGATAACTAATATAATGCAAGCTTTTTGTGTTTTTAGTACATTTTGATGATTTTGGTTTTAAAATGCCTACAGTATTCCAGAAAGCCTATTCTAAACCATTAAGATTATATAGTCATTCAGGCATAATAAACGGTAACCAACGTCTGGTTAACAACAAAGGGTGCAACCTGTTGTAACAACACGACTGTTGTACTCTATAATTGATGTTGATGAAGCTCCCTGGAGTTTTTTGGAGGTCCATTTCATCTTTTTATTACACGTTCTTCTCAATCCCTCAAACTTGTTACTCCATGAGTCAAGCATATTCGTACCGGTCAACGCTCTTTTTCTTTCTCTGCTCCTAAACTCTGGAACTCTCTGCCTCCTCAATTACGTATCATTTCTGATCCGCAATTATTCAAATCTACTCTTAAATCATTCCTCTTCAAATAGTTCAACTTCTTTCTAACATCCTCCA